TGCTTGAAATATTAACTTCAACTCCTGGAACATCTCATATGGTCCATGACATTCAAAACGTCTTTGAAGTCACGATTCTAAGCTGTTAAGCATGGTGCACTAAACTATCAAGTAGTCATCATATTGAGCTAGCCAAACGTTCATAACGTCTGCATCTGTTTCTGCAATAGGTCTGTCACCTAGCGGTGCATCAAGGACATAATTCTTCTGTGCAGCAATGAGGATAAACCTCAGATCACGGATCCAATCCGCATCGTTGCTACTAACATTTTTCAACTTAGTTTTCTCTAGGAACATATATATAACATAGGGAAGCAACAACGCGAGCTATTGATCTACAACATAGATATGCTAATACTACCAGGACTAAGTTCATGATAAATTAAAGTTCAATTAATCATATTACTTAAGAACTCCCACTTAGATAGACATCCCTCTAATCCTCTAAGTGATCACGTGATCCAAATCAACTAAACCATGTTCGATCATCACGTGAGATGGAGTAGTTTCAATGGTGAACATCACTATGTTTATCATATCTACTATGTGATTCACGCTCGACCTTTCGGTCTTCGTGTTTCGAGATCATATCTGTTATATGCTAGGCTCGTCAAGTTTAACCTGAGTATTCCGCGTGTGCAACTGTTTTGCACCCGTTGTATTTGAATGTAGAGCCTATCACACCCGATCATCACGTGGTGTCTCAGCACGAAGAACTTTCGCAATGGTGCATACTCAGGAAGAACACTTGTACCTTGATAATTAGTGAGAGATCATCTTATAAAGCTATTGTCGAACTAAACAAAATAAGATGTATAAAAGATAAACATCACATGCAATCAAAATATGTGACATGATATGGCCATCATCATCTTGTGCCTTTGATCTCCATCTCCAAAGTACCGTCATGATTTCCATCGTCACCGGCATGACACCATGATCTCCATCATCTTGATCTTTATCAATATGTCGTCACATGGTCGTCTCGCCAACTACTGCTCTTGCAACTATTGCTATCGCATAGCGATAAAGTAAATCAATTATTTGGCGCTTGCATCTTATGCAATAAAGAGACAACCATAAGGCTTCTGCCAGTTGCCGATAACTTCAACAAAACATGATCATCTTATACAAAAACTTATATCTCATCACGTCTTGACCATATCACATCACAACATGCCCTGCAAAAACAAGTTAGACGTCCTCTACTTTGTTGTTGCAAGTTTTACATGGCTGCTATGGGCTGAGCAAGAACCATTCTTACCTACGCATCAAAACCACAACGATAGTTTGTCAAGTTAGTGCTGTTTTAACCTTCTCAAGGACCGGACGTAGCCACACTCGGTTCAACTAAAGTTGGAGAAACTGACACCCGCTAGTCATCTGTGTGCATAGCACGGCGGTAAAACCAGTCTCGCGTAAGCGTACACGTAATGTTGGTTCGGGCTGCTTCATCCAACAATACCGCCGAACCAAAGTATGACATGCTGGTAAGCAGTATGACTTATATCGCCCACAACTCACTTGTGTTCTACTCGTGCACAACATCAACACATAAAACCTAGGCTCGGATGCCACTGTTGAGGAACGTAGTAATTTCAAAAAATTTCCTACGCACACGCAAGATCATGGTGATGCATAGCAACAAGAGGGGAGAGTGTTGTCTATGTACCCTCGTAGACCGGCAACGGAAGCATTGACACAACGTAGAGGAAGTAGTCGTACGTCTTCCCGATCTGACCGATCCAAGTACCGAACGTACGTCACCTCCGAGTTCTGCACACGTTCAACTCGGTGACGTCCCTCGAGCTCCGATCCAGCAAAGTGTTGAGGGAGAGTTCCGTCAGCACGATGGCGTGATGACGGTGATGATGTTCTACCGACGCAGGGCTTCGCCTAAGCACCGCTACGATATGACCGAGGAGGAATATGGTGGAAGGGGGCACCGCAGACGGCTAAGGAACGATCACGAAGATCAACTTGTGTGTCTAGAGGTGTCCCCCTTGCCCCTGTATATAAAGGAGCAAGGGGGGAAGTCGGCCGGCCCTCTATGGGCGCGCCAGGAGGAGTCCTCCTCCTCCTAGTAGGAGTAGGGAGTCCTACTCCTACTAGGAGGAGGAAAGGAAGGAGGAGAAGGAGAAGGAAGGAGAAGGAGGAAAAGGAGGAAAGGGGGGCCGGCCCCCTAGTACAATTCGGTTTGGGCTAGGGGGGCCGCGCGCCCTGCCTCCTCTCTTCCACCACTTGGCCCATGATGCCCATTACTTCTTCCTCGTATTCCCGTAACTCCCTGGTACCCCCGAAAATACCCAAATCACTCGGAACCTTTCCGATGTTCGAATATAGTCGTCCAATATATCGATCTTTACGTCTCGACCATTTCGAGACTCCTCGTCATGTCCCCGATCTCATCCGGGACTCCGAACTACCTTCGGTACATCAAATCACATACACTCATAATACAATCATCATCGAAACTTTAAGCGTGCGGACCCTACGGGTTCGAGAACTATGTAGACATGACCGAGACACGTCTCCAGCCAATAACCAATAGTGGAACCTGGATGCTCATATTGGCTCCCACATATTCTACGAAGATCTTTATCGGTCAAACCGCATAACAACATACGTTGTTCCCTTTGTCATCGGTATGTTACTTGCCCGAGATTCGATCGTCGGTATCTCAATACCTAGTTCAATCTCGTTACCGGCAAGTCTCTTTAATCGTTCCGTAATACATCATCCTGCAACTAACTCATTAGTTGCAATACTTGCAAGGCTTTAAGTGATGTGCATTACCGAGAGGGCCCAGAGATACCTCTCCGATAATCAGAGTGACAAATCCTAATCTCGAAATACGCCAACCCAACAAGTACCTTTGGAGACACATGTAGAGCACCTTTATAATCACCCAGTTACGTTGTGACGTTTGGTAGCACACAAAGTGTTCCTTCGGTAAATGGGAGTTGCATAATCTCATAGTCATAGGAACATGTATAAGTCATGAAGAAAGCAATAGCAACAAACTAAACGATCAAGTGCTATGCTAACGGAATGGGTCAAGTCAATCACATCATTCTCTAATGATGTGACCCCGTTAATCAAATGACAACTCATGTCTATGGCTAGGAAACTTAACCATCTTTGATTCAACGAGCTAGTCAAGTAGAGGCATACTAGTAACGCTCTGTTTGTCTATGTATTCACACATGTATTATGTTTTCGGTTAATACAATTCTAGCATGAATAATAAACATTTATCATGAAATAAAGAAACAGATAATAACTTTATTATTGCCTCTAGGGCATATTTCCTTCAACTTTGACAGCCCAAACATGTTTGGAACTAGGAATCGAGCTTGAATTGATAACATCAACATACATTGATTTAACTGTAAATACTCCAGACCTAGTAAGCTTCCAGCGTAATTCATCGGGTTGTTGAGAAAGCTGAACCTCCATCAGTCTACTTACTAGACGGAGCCATTCTTCCCAACGATTGCCCATGGGCGCCCTTCCGAACTGAATATTAAGGGTGATAGATTGAAGTACCGTTGCAACAAACACCTCACGTCGTTGAACAATACGATACAAAGACGGGTATTGAATGGCTAAGGGTGTCTCTCCGAGCCAAGTATCCTCCCAGAATCGCGTACTAGCACCGTTACCAATAATAAACTTTGTCCTATTAAACAGGGATAGTTTGACTTTCATAAGCCCTTTCCAAAAGGGTGAGTCAGTCGGCCTTACTGTCACCTGAGACAAAGTTTTGGTTTGAAGATATTTGCTATGGAGGATTTGCGCCCAAGTGGCATCAGTCCCACTTGATAACTTCCACAGCTACTTGCTGAGAAGACATATGTTCTTAACTTCAAGATTTTCAATACCAAGACCCCCTTGGTCTTTCGGTCTATAGATGATATCCCATTTGGCTAGACAGTATTTTCTTTTTAGTTCATCACCCTGCCAAAAGAATCGTGATCGATAGAAGTCCAGTCTTTTCCTAACTCCAACTGGTACTTCGAAGAACGACAAAAGAAACATAGGCATACTCGTGAGAACCGAATTTATCAAAATTAGTCGGCCTCCGTATGACATGAGCTTGCCCTTCCAGCAACTCAGTTTCTTTTCAAATCGGTCCTCGATGTACTTCCATTCTCTGTTTGTCAGTTTACGATGGTGGATTGGTATTCCTAAGTATGTGAAAGGTAAAGCCCCCAAATCACAACCAAACACACGATTTCTACATAATAATCATGTGTGATGTACTACCTATCTCAACATGCTCGTCCGGCTAAATGTGCACACGTTTGCTTCGAGCTTATCGTGTGAGATGGGTTCCCCTATCGCACACAGGTAGCCCATATGGTGTGTGATGCACCCCCATATCGCACACCATGGCAAGACGTCAATTCGCATATAATGTGCATTAGAGATTTTTAACCGCGTGCAATGGATGGATCTGCACTAGTGTGAAAAGCTTTGGGCTAGGAGAACATTTCAACTTCTACTCACTTTTGTGGGAAATAAAATAGTTGGTGAACATTTTGAACTTTTTCTCAAAAGTTTTCATGGTGACGGTTTGTTTCAGAATAAAATATTAACCATTCAGCATGCTAATCAAGGAACTCAGACATATAATGCTATGACTTTCTTGCAAACATCCGACAGACCATATCCAACTCAATTTTGCTCTAGATGAACTTAAATTATCCAATGGTTGCTGAAAATCAGTTAGCTAGGAAGAAAAATGGTTGGAATCAAGTCACCACACTAATACCCTAGCATTCTTCTCTGGCTAGCAGCTAACACTGTATGTACACCTTACAAAATTAAGTTGCAAGTTCCACATGTGCAGACCGACCGAGAGCTGAACTCCCACACGTGCATGCACGCACACCCTCTCTCCCAGTGTGCATGCATGCATATGCTGGACCTTAATAAATTAAGCTAAATCTCGCAATCAGTCGACCGCTGCTGTTGCTTCTGCCCATGGTCTTCTTCTACGGCGCCGGCGGGCCCTGCTCGTCGTGCCGTGGCCTGGCAGCCCAGAGGGTGCTGACGGCGCGGAGGCGGTGGAAGTAGTCGGCGATGGCGACAAAGCAGCAGGCGGCCTGTCGGACCGTCAGCATGCCGTGCAGCTTGTCCAGGGTCTGCTGCCTCAGCCCATCTGCCTGCAGCACGCAGAAGGAAGAAACACTGTTAGTAGTTAACTTGGACAATCATTCATGTACACTTGAACAGTGCTAATCGAGAGAAAACGTCGACTTCCGAACGGTTCCATCAAGTGGCAACATAGGATCATGTGGGAGATGATAAACTACGTATGGGCCGGTTCGGTCGATCTGTCAGGATCACTCTATAATCAAGCTTGCTGCTACTTTTTCCTGCACATTAATTCTGCAAGATCATGATGTCCCAACTCCTCCATCTTGTCATCCCCCAGTTTCTATGTTAACGTGCGTCCGTTCGTACGTCTGCAGCGTCTAGCGCACATGTGTGTGTGTGTGGATGGACGGGCCGGGGGCTTCGACCTCCTTCCAAATTTGACTTGGTGCAACGCGTCTGGCAGCTGCTGGCTAGCTAGGTTTCGCCTAACCTAAATTCGTCCGGCCGGCCATGCCGTGCATGCTGATCCCAAGTTCCCAACAACCAGGCATGATGACGCAGTGCACGCGTGTGGATGATGCTGGCCGTACGTTCGTCTCACGTCCTAATTAGGGTCTGGTAGTGTGGGCCCCAGACGCAGTCTGATGCTGACGTGACGTACGCATCACATGTGATCATATACTACGCACCTGCCTGACGATGGCTTCCATGGAGGAGATCTTGTTGAGGGCGAGGGACATGTGGCCCATGAAGTTGCCGCCGGCGGCCTCCGGGGAGGCGATGGTGTCGGAGAGAGAGTGCTGGAGGGTCCCCATGGTGTGGTTCAGCGACTCCTCCGTCTCCTGCACCCACCGCTGGAGGTTGTAGATTCCCAGGAGCTGCCCCTCTGACAGCGACTCCACTTGCTTCAACATTACCTGCATTAGTTAATTATTTATTAAGTAATCCATCATATACAGTTAAGCGTATATCACTTTTGAATATTTAGCCCAATTAGTTGAGAGCATTTGTGAAATTATGGACAGTATATAATATGGTTTAGGTTTAGCTATATATAGATGTACTAAGCAATTACCAGAAATTAGATGCTTAGCTTCTAAATATATATTGAAAGTAAATATCTCTATTCTCCACAAAAATGGAAAACAAAAATATATATGGTCCATGCTGGAAAACAGAAATTAATGAGCTAGGTACGCGTGTAGTGCACTTCTTTGAAGGAAAGTGTAGAGCACATTTCATCAACACATATACATGATTTACCCATTCCATCTGGAATATGTATAGAGTAAGCTCAAAAAACAACCTAATATATGCTGAAAAGTCCACATGAAAAGACGCTCAAAACTACGTGATGTTCTCTTTTTGAGAATCTTGTTGCAGGTGATCTTCTCGGGTCGAGTTTTATATATACACACGCTTCTAGGATATATGTGCCTACATATAAACCTTCTAGAAGGCCAATGATATGGGAAAGAATCACAGTTCAGTGAGAAAACATGATTAACATTTTTCTTTATCTAAAATCGGTGCATTTTTTGTTGTCATTACAAAATTATTATGCAGGATTTTGGAACATGGAAGTTTTATCTCAAAGAAGGTCTCGAAATTACTAGACTCCGAGCAAAGCAAAAGAAAGCTGATTTGATTAGCAGTTGGATTGAATAGAATCTCTAATTTTATCATGTTTCCCAAAACTGGTGTTAGTTGATCCTTTTAGATCGGCTTCTTGTAGCCTATGTAATATGTAATTTGTTTTATTTATTAATATAGAAAATACCGTAGAACGATTGTTCTACGGTTTCGGCTAAAAAAATCATTTGGGAGAAGACGGTGTGGAAAATAAAGTTAGACTGATCAATTCACACACATGACCCATAAACTGAACTGCTAAATATTTGGTATATGCGCTCTTTTGATCTGAAATTTTCTCACGCCGAACCGTATTTCACTAGCTAATATGTTTTGGGCATTTGAATATACTGCTCGCTGGACAGTATAGACCACGTACAAAAGCATGATAGTCAGTTTAAAAATCCATTTTTTATATACGTCTAACACGAAATATGTGCAGTTCCTGGTTTCAGCATGGTCAAGAATGTTTTCTTTGTAGAATATAAGTGAACAGCAAAAGAATCACTATGAGATTTGGAAATCCGTCCCCATCACACATCTAACTTCTCCTACACATGTTTCTGTCCAATATTACCTACTCCCCAATCAATCCATTGTGTCTCAACAATGCACATGCATCCAAAAGCTAACCTTGTTTTTTTTTCCTTCCTCAGTTTCAACTATTCCATCAAGTATATATTGGATCCTCAGCAAAACCTTTTCAGTTTTTGGAATAAGTTAGGGGACCTCTGGAGTTGTTGACCATGTAATTAGAGCGGGGAAAATTAAGATGTGTTTTAGCTTTTCCAAAGCCGGCCTAGAGTTGCTGGAGAATGCAAGTAAGACCAGGCGCACATTAGCTAAAAAGGGCAAGGGAGACATTATTGGAAATTCATTTTGATGGGAAAAAAGTTGGAGGTGGTGACTCAACCTAACATGTCTTTAGGTTTAAACTAGCACACACACTTTTCCCAAAATGTATGTTTGTACTTGATG